ATGAAATAGACACAGCACAGGACCAGCAGAGTTGCTCCCCTGGCTGCATAGTAGTTTGCAGGATTGGTCGTCTCGTCAAGGGCCGTGCTGAGATACTCGTTATATCTCAGGGAGTCCAGAAATATTCGAAGAAAGACCTGGCCGAAGGAAAAGCAGACGACCAATGAGCCGATGACCAGGGATATGGAAATCATGATCCTAAGAACCCTAGAGAACTTTGCAGCAAGATCGCTGTATGAGAGCTTTTTTCCCAAAACCACCACTGGCTCTGGCTGCATGAGTTTTGTACAAATGTATCACTTCTATGCCAAGAATCCAGTAGCTGATTAATGCAAGCGTGTAGACAGGCAGAGGATGTTCTTGATAGTGGCAGCCGTTGGGTGGATACATGGTCTGTACAGGGAACAAACTATTTCTATGTCTGATAGAGACCACAGACAAGAGTCATCTATGAATGTGCAGTCTGTTTGTGTGCCTGATCATGACCACGTAGGATTTACTCAATTTACTTTTCTGACTAGTGCTTAAATAAATGCAACTAACTTTATATTTTATCGCAGGCTTTATAGTTTAACTATATATATCTATATACTCACATACAGTCTTCTACCGTGCTATGCTACGGTGAATATGCTTGTTTCTGTACTGGACATTTAGACAATCAGCAGCGCACCCAATACCTACATTCAACTGGAATTGCACAAAGAATGTAGTCAAGTTGTACACTAACTACTCCAGTGTCATTTGTCAACGGATCACAAGTCAGTCTGGAATGATTGACAGGAATGATTTGGCATGACATGTTGACACCCGTCAACATTCTATTTTCAATTGAATTTTTGAGTGGTAGCATGCACTCACAAATTACCAGCACAGTCAATGTGATATTGGCAGTATTACAGTCCTGCTTGTAGTTAAAGCGTATATGTCATTGTGGTTTTTAACTTGGAGATATATCATTCTACTGTGAAATCCAGCTATTTAAAAATTTTCAGTCACATCCCTTAATGAATATTGCACAGACGAGAAAGACACACAAAGCAATCTGGAGTCTACTTGTGCTCATGGGAGCTACACTTCAGGACTCGTACAATAGTGCAAACCCAGGTAGAACCTATAGCTTTGAAAATTATCCTGTGAATGTCACTGAAATATCTATATGTAGACAAGGCATTAGATTTATTGGCAGCGATGTTGGGAGGTTAGTGAAACTAGAGAAGCTGGATCTCAGTTTTAACAATCTCGAGACATTGCCACCCGAGATAGGAAAATTGAAGAATTTACAGCATCTGGATCTATATGGCAATAGGCTCTGGACACTACCATCTGAGGTAGAAGAGTTGAAGAATTTACAGTATCTGGATCTTGGTAATAACCAATTTGAATCATTTCCAACAGTGATAAGAAAACTAAAGAATCTAGAAAGACTGATTCTCAACGATAACAAATTTGGATTATTACCAATTGAGATAGCAGAGCTAAAGAAACTACAATGCTTGGAACTTCGTGGTAACAAGCTAAAGCTATTACCAGACGAGATAGGAGGGATGAAGGAACTACGAGAACTGATTCTCAACGATAACGAACTTGAGTCATTTCCAACAGTGATAGCAGAGCTGAGGAAATTACAGACCTTGAATCTCCGTGGTAACAAGCTAAAGCTATTGCCAGACGAGATAGAAACGTTGAAGGAACTACAGACCTTGTATCTTGAATACAACGAATTTGAATCATTTCCAACTGTGATAGTAAA